GTTAAACTTCTGGTCAAATCTTCTTTAGACGAGGTTGATGATAAGTAGTTAGTCAAGTCTAACAGACGAGATTGATAATATATAATTGATTAATTTTGATTATTTTAAACGAGTTAATAATATTTAATTGATTTAAAGTATATGATTTCATTATATTAACTTATGACATATAGTTTAGTTTAATAACATTTATTTGGATGAACTAATAACATGTAGTTAAGTCTAATTATTTTTCGTAAGTTATAACACATGGCTTTATTGAACTGTGATCCTATTAAACAAGCTAATAACATATAGTATGTCTTATGTTATTATTTCTAAGGGAGTGGAAAATAAGAGAAGAAAATAGAATGTAAGATTATTTGAATTAAGAGAAAGAGAAAAGTGAAGAGAAGTGTATGAAAAGATTGTAAAAGATAAAATTGATTAAAAAAAATTAAATAATTAGATAAAGTAATTTAATTAAAATAAATATAAATGTAAATCGAAATATATTTATGATTTATTAAATAAAAACTTGAAAATTAAGAAATATCTAACAAAGTAAAAATTAAAATAATTTTTTTATTATTATATTTTTAATTATGATTATTATTATTATTATAAAAAATCAAAATAAAAAATGCATTGTAAATAAACTATAATCCATGTATTAAATTAAAGATATTGTTCTAATAACCATGAAATGACACTCAATGCATGAATTTAAAAATAAAATAAAAAATATTGAAGACTTTTCATGTTTTTCATTTTATATTTGGGACTAGAGTTTTGTAACTTCCCATCGTTATAAATCACCGTAAATTAATTGATACAAATAAAATATTTCTTCTCAAATCATTATATTTGTTTCTTCTTAAACAATATTTCACTTAATACAAACATAAATTCAGTATTAATTAGTCTATTACCCACTAGATGAGACGTTGACAAGAGGGTCGAGTGAAGTCTAATGGGCTTGTCAAGTACTATGTTGATTATGATTCATTTCATCATTGAATTACATAGGATCCACTTTAAACACATAATAAATACCAAAAACTTAATTAAATTTGTAATCATCAAAATCATGAATTCCTTTCTCTTTATTTTTCTTATTAATACAAAAATCAATTATTAATTTAAAAACAAAATAACCTGAAGACCTAAAACAAACCCCATAAAAGGTGAAAATAGTAACTTCAACCTTATAAGTAAAAAAAATTTCAAATTCCGTTAATTGTCTACTTTTTCATACGTGAAAGTTTCTAATTTTATTTTATATTTTAAACTGTGAACCATGAGAGATGCATGTGAGTTAGATTTAGGTAGGTTTAGTTAAACTTATCATCTAGCATATTAAAAAAATACTTAAAATACTTAAGTTGGATCAGGTTGAGTTGTTTTCACTTTAATTAGGTTGAATGAATTGGATTATAATTTTATTTTTATTTTTTTGAATATTTTTTTAATAAATTATACTATAATATTTGAATAATTTAATATTTTAAATATATATATATATATATATATTGAAATAAAACAATAATTAAATAAATTAATAATAATTACATAGTAATATTATTGTTGATGTTATTATTATTATTAAATAATTTTAATTCAGACTGATTTATATCATAAAATTTGTCACCTAATTCGTAAAACATTTGAATTGAATGTAACCTATTCTAATTAAATTAGGTAGAATTAGGTTGTTAATACAATCAACATTCCAATGATTCCTTCCTTACAATTTTTTTATTTTAGATGTTATAATATTCATACAAGTGTGTATATACAAAGTTAATAATAAAACATTAAAAAAAATTATGTTAATATTTGATATTTCTCCTATTTTTATAATTTTTTTAAATTTCATTCTTTTACGTTACAATGAATCGATTCATAATTTTTAAATTAAAAATAGAATTACAAAGAAATACAAAATTTATGAATCAAAAATAGTATCAACAATTTTAATTCTATATTTTGTTTTAATTATTTTCACACCAGAGGTTGTATTTCAAATGTTACTTTATATGTTGGTTTGTATTAGTTAGTAGTACAACAAAGAGAAAAAGAACAATCATCCATTGTAGTGTCAAACTTTATGTTACAAGAAAATTTTAATATTAAAAAAAGTTATATATGTAATTTATTATATACTTGACTTACCATTTTGGCTTATTTCTATTAAAAATTATTTTAATTATATATTAATTTTATGACTCCTATATATATCAAGTTTGTTATAAATATTTAATAATTTATTTTAGTAAACATTATTATTGAGTATCCACATATGTTATTAATGTTTGTGATGGGATAAGCCAAGAAGAGAACATCATTCCTTACTTTATATAAAGAAATAATGGATAAGAAGTTTGGGCCATTTGTGTCGGCAAATCCTTTCCCATGTCACTTAGTGTCGGCAAAACATCCACGCCCGTGAATCTTACTTGTGTTGCTGCTGTAAAACAAATAAAGCTAAAAATCATTTAATATAAGAAATGGTAATAAGTTCTATAAGGATATTTAATTGCAAAATAAAAATGAAAAAACACCACTATAATTTTTCTAATCATTTTGACATATTTTTATAGAAAAATATTATTAGTTCCTTTATAGTACCAAAGGCCCTTTTAATAGAATCATATAATTATGTTTCAAACTTAAAATTGTGAGTATTATTATTGCCCTACTTTCAAAAAATTTGCTCAAATATAAAATACTCCATTTATTACTTCTTGTTTTACATTGAAGATTAAGAAGAAATAATCTCCTCATTGATATTAAATAAAAATTTTACTATTTCTTTCTCTCTCTAATTTAGTGTTTTAACATGCATTCGAGGTTTTCCCTTTTTTTTTTAGTTAATAATAATAATAATAATAATTAATGCTTGAAACTATAAAATGACACATAATTATATTATTTAAAATGACAATAAAATAAATAAAAGGAGTAATCAAAAGGATGTGGATGTTTTCCATGGGGAAATATCTCACGAACGCCACCCACCCAACCAAATAAATATAACCCTACTTATATGTTTGTTTTAGTGTTCTGAATTCCAGAAAAAAAATTGTTTTAGATATTTAATTTAAAACATATTTTTTATTTGATTGTAATTATATACATATAAATTTGTTTAAGGTTCTTTGGGTCAATCTTATGTGTGAGAAAGAAGAAGAATTGTGTTTGGTGTAAAATATATGCCTATAAGAAATTCATGTGAAAACTTTATCAAGTTATCACAATGTTACTACTTTATCTTTGGATTCAGGTTTGGACTAGGGAGTAGATTTCGAGAGAATAATAAAATAATAAATATATATATATATATATATATATATATATATATATATATATATATATGAAAAGTAAATTTGTTTGGATTAAAAAAAATAAATAGAAAATAAAATATTTTTTTAATAATTTTTTATTATGTAATAAAATAGAATAATTTAAAAGAATACAAAATTCTTAATGTAACTTTTATTTGTATTGAATTCCTAGTCTCGTCTCGTACCTGTTTTCAGAATCAAAAGAACTTAAGAAAGGAAAAAAATTAAATTACACAAAAAATTTATATTTTGATTAAACCTTAATTTATATTTAGTTCTTAAAATAACTTAAGTTTGAGGTTTAACAGATCATGAAGTTGATTTTCAAATAAATTTTCTTATGAACAATGTGGTGCCTCACCCTTATGCACAAGTTTTTGAAACCCTTGAGAACAACCAATGCAACGTAGAAATTGTTGCATATAAAATAATAAGATTCAAGTATTTGAAGTAAGAAACAAAAGTTCCGACTCTTGAATGTTTTGGCTTCTCTGAAGGCCAAACTTGAAGATTGTAATTAGAAGTTTAAGCTTTTAGTACTGTGTGTTATGATAAAGATAACAAGTTTTGATAATGATAAAACCAACTTAGTCATTTTTTAAAATGAATTATTCTTTGCAACAAAGTTGAATTATTTTAAATAAAGTTACGTAGATTTTTTTTAATGGATTATAAACAAGTCATAATTGATTATAAAATACGTAAGGAGAAATATGATATTTCTTTACTTTTTATTAAGATCAATCGCAAATCAAGACAATTAGGATTAGGCCTATTAAAATAAGTTTAACCCCACTTAAATAACCTATAAACAGGATTGGATAAAATAGAAGTAACTTCAATAAAATGCGGCTTTTTTAGCATATCCATTTAGATGAACAACTCAAATTGACTACGATTATGAGCTAATGAGTTTGTCTGTTTTAATATTAATAATATTTCATCCTAATTTTAGATTTTTTTTTGCCAAAACTTATCTTTTATTATCAAGAAATTGCTTGTAAAAGGAATGCTCTTAAACTAAGAGCTATCACGTTGACAGCCTTAAAATACTAGCTCTCGTTGGAGTAGCAGTGAGGCTATTGAGTAAACGAGATTTAGTTACTTCAAGGACAGCTACAAGCATTTCATGCAAACTGTTTGTTTCTGATGAAAAAACAGTAAAGGACAGTAATGTAGTGACTTCCTTTAGCATCGAATAGGCACGGGAAATTAATTAAAGGAGATTCAAGAGAGGGCCTTTCATTCAACTATTCATTTATATTCACGAAGAACGAATTGTAATATAATAACTACTAATCTAGTCAAGAGATATAAAATCTCTCCAGCCATCACCATTTGTTACTGTATACTGCATTGCATATCTTTTAGTTTCTCCCGCTTTTTACTTTTTTCTACCATGCAAAGCACATGAGCTGATCTTGTTACTTCTAATAAATAGTAACTGGTAAAAGTGTCTCTACCAAGTAACATTACGCTGGTCGATATTATTTGTTATATGAAGCAAATATGAACCAAGAGTGCTTAAGATAGCATGTTAAGAAATAACTGTGGCTTAGCTTCAAGGTTAGAATAGCTTCTCACTGACGAAGCTGCTACTGCTCAAAAGAACATTTACACAGTACCGACGTAAGCGCGTCCACGGGGTAAATGGTAAACTTCACTAAAATTGCTTCACGGGTATATTTCTTCAGGGAAGATGGCTTGACCAGCATAAATATACTGCATTTCCTCTTTCCATGTCTGCATAAAGACCAAGAATTGAGAAAGAAAGAATAAATATAGAGAATATTAATCATGAAAGAATGAATACAAATCTAACTGCACGTATATATATGGTTTGGTCTTAGTTTTTTTCACCTCGTATCTGAAAGAAATCCTCAAATTGGGAACATTTGTCTTATGAATATCATTTCCTTCAGAACCTCTCAACAAATATTTTTCCCCAAGCCAGTGTGACTGTAAAAGGAGGGAAAAAAATATTATGAAAATAATGTAACCAGAAAATACATTCATAAATAAAAACAGAACTGAGTAAACAAGAACTTAAAGAAGGTATGTCAAAAGAAGATCAAACCTAACAGCTACAACCTACTGTTCACATTAAGTTTAAGAATGCGAATACCTTAACATAGCCTTAATACAAATGAGCAAAAACAAAATATTCCTACATTGTCTCCTAATATACCTTTGCCTGGTGAGAAAATCCAGATTGGTATACAGAATTTCTAGCTATCTCACACATATCACAGGCGGAGAGCTTCCACACCTGCACGTGTTTAAGTAAAATAATTCTCCAGATAAAACAGAAAATTTAACCAACTTATATTTAGGGAGGCTAGTAGTCTGGCAGAAACTAGACCTTTGCTGCAACACTATATTCTTCTAGCAGTGCCTCTTTTGTCAAATGAATTTGCAAAGGATCATCCGAAGAGAGAGACACATTTAAACCTCGCTGGAAAAACATTGGCAATGGATTGCGATGGTAGTCCAAAAAAAGGGAGTTATTGCTGAGTGGTGACATAGCCAATCCAATCTAAAGTGATAACATGATGGTATTAATATATTGTCACAAATTATCATATGATCAAGAGAAAGTGATAAAAGTATTGGTAAAGAACAGGACCAAAACTCAGAATGGGAATGAAAGATGTAGTGGTCGGTTTAAACTTTAATAGAATAACTAGGTTGACCAAATGATATTATTCCTAAGGACTAACCTGTGCAAGATAATACAAGTACTGCAAAACTGGAGTTTTACGTAGATTAATCCCATGAGAAATGTTATGGCATAGAAGGAAGGCCGCAGCCAAATGATCGCTGTCACCTGCCTGCATGAGTAGATTGATTATAAGTATCATATTGAACATAAAGAATTAAACTATACCTCTAGAATTTTGAAAACAACCTCTCCACAGTGAGGCCGCAACTTTATCGTGGTCATTCCTTTAGATTCACGCAGCTGAAACAGACATTGAGATATTAATATTGTTGTGAACCAGCAATTATTTTGTAAGCTATTCTTCCTGTTTCATTTTTTCTTCCATTTAATGTGGTTGAACTTGAGGACCTCAACTTCACCACACCCTACCCAAAAAAGAAACAAAACCCAGTTAACCGCAACTAGCAGACCATCAAAATTATAGAATGTCAAGTTTCTCTTCAGGCAGGACTTGACCATAGAAAAAAAGAATTTGCCCAAGATCGGTAAAGGCTGTGTATACAATTTGTTAGGCACCAGATAAGAAAAATGCTTGATATATTATTGATAGCAAGGTGCTAGAAATTAGAAACAAGATACACAAAAGAACACTTCATGATGAGGGCATTGTGGAGCCCTCACTCTCTCCTGAACTAACCCACAAAATGATTAAAACTAACTCGGCTCCTTTCTGTTACACTCTTTTATTTGCCTCTACAACTGGTTTTCCCGCCAAAAGTCTTCCCTGTCACTAACTATTTTTCTTCTCAGCCTATGATGTATCAAATTTATTTACAACTGGGTTATATTATAATCAATGCCCTTATCATGACTATTTCTTCTAGTACAGACCTGCCCATAAAACCTCTGCCTGCTAACGGAATAAAAAAGGAAGGTGATGCTGTTAAACACTTGAGCTCTAAAAAGAGAGTAATAGAATAAACCTTGTTAAGCGTGTACAAGTTTGCATAGCTGTAATAAAGGTAATAAGAATATGCCGGATTGAATTCATTTGTCCACTCAGCTGGAGTAGGCATGTGCTTAGTTGGACGCCTTTCTGGTTTACTTTCATCATCCACAAGATCAAATCCCACCACCTGTATGCAGAAGAAGCGACTAAAAAAAAAAGAAATTGTAGAAAGAACAAAGTTGCTGCACTTGATCAATATCCTTCATCTCTCAGTTTTAAACAAAAACTCATCATCAGAAACAAATTTGATGGTGAATACATCTCAGTCCTCAACTTCATTCTCTACTACCAAATCTTACTTTATGAACTGTGATACAAAAATTTAAATACAGTAGATACATCCCTTTATAACTATAAAGAAGTGCATTGAGTGTTTTTTTTTTTCAACAATTGCTTGCAACAAAAACAGAAAATCAGATTAATTTGACAAATATGGGGCTGGTTGAATTATAATTAAAATTGAATGAGGAATTGGGACTATGGGGAAAGAACAGCATTGCAAAAAAAACTATTAGAACTGTAGATGATAGACAAAGATCAGATCCTACAACAGAGGGAAATCATCTGAAAACAGAATAATAGCCTTATCTCACTGGATGAGATGGATTAGATGTCATTGGGCTTGGTTAAAAACCAAATTATCAAGAATACTATTCATCATGAAATTGCTTCTATTAATTTCTTCTACGCCCTTGCCCCACCCCATTTCACAAGGGTAAAAAGTTAAAAACCATAAAATTTACTCTCTTCACCAATGCCTCCAGTCGCATTTGCACGTGTCCAAATCATCTTAATCAATTAATTTTCTACCATCTTTTTCTCAATAGGTGCCAGACTAATGTCTCTCAGATTATATACAAAGTGTCGTAATTAATTTTCCTATTTGTAATATTGATTAAAATATTTAAACCTAAAAAACTATAGTATAATATATTCTTCATTTTTCACCTCCACGACGTTGTTAAATGTGCAATGCATATGCCCTGTCTTACTCCCAAGTGAACCGTTGATCCTGATGTCAGGTCTCCGAATCTCAAGTTTGGAGTAAACTCTTTCCCATATTCGTCAATCACAACAATATCATATGCAAAAGGAATATATTTAGGGTAATCTCCTATAATATATGTTCATGGTAAGAACTAAGCAAATGAACACTGGATCAAATAAGTAAGGACTTGAACCTGAACCATGATGATGCAACTCTATCCTTATGCGAAATTCCTTAGTCATGCCTCCAAGAGTTCTCACAGGAATCATTACACATTTTACTTATCTGTCTATAGTGTAGATATAAGTCAAACCAACACCTTTTCTTTCAAAAGTCTTTCACAACTATGAATGCTTTTGCTTCCGTGTAAATCAAAACCATATGCAAGTCACTTTCTTTTTTTTAGTACCTTTATATCAGCTTCTATAAAAGATAGATAACTTAAAGACTTTTTTGGCGTAAATCCAAATTTATTTTTCTCAATCTTGATCTCCTCTTAATATATACCATCCCTTTTTCCCATAATTTCATAGCACACTCCATTGTTCTTATATCCCTTTGCAGCTAACAGAATGCTTTAAACCTCCATAGTTCTTATATATAGGAACCAAAGTGCTCCTCCACTCATCTAACATTTTCTTAGATATCGAAACCTCATTAAATGGCTTCTCAAGGCAAATAATAACAAACTTCAACAGGATTACCATCAAAAACCATCAACTTTATTCTTATTCATTCTAAAAGCTTTTAACTAATCGTTTCCAACTTGAATTTTATGATGATAAGACAAATTTGGTCTGTCCCCTTGGATTTTTAATCCTACGATATTACTGGTAGATCATTCATCATCGTTGAGAGCTTGTAAAGAGTTCTCCTATCTTTCTTTTATATCTTGATAAGGTTTTCCTTTTTCATCTTTAATACATCTTACTGGTTCAAATCTCTTGATTTTCTTTCCCTATTTTTGTCAAGTTTATATATAGTATGTTCCTCATTCTTTGTCCCAACATCTCAGTAAAACTCCTCAAAAGCTTTGGATTCTACTTCACTTACAGTTTTTCCAATCTTATTCCTTGCCTTTCAATAGCATGTCACGTTTGTGTTTCCTATTTAACAAGAAAGGTGTGTTCCTAAACCTTTCATGTACGATAGCACATTATAACAGCTACACCAAAAAATAAATACGGTCATTAAAATGTTACGTATGAAAATTTACGTAACCATACAACTAAATACATGTAGAAGCACAAAAAAAAGGGTGTGTTCACACTCAAACATAAGGAGAAAAAAAAAAAAAAAACTAACCTGCATCAAAAACAAATGTAATTGAGGATGAGAATTTGGATCCACTGTGACTTCAAATAGAGGAATAAACACATTATCCAGAATATTCTGAAAGGAGGTAACAATTCCCATATTTTTGTACACATTGTATAACCGTGGTAACTGTTCCAAAAAAAGTTAACAAAAAGATCAATGTCAACAAACAGGATAATATTCCAAATTAAAAGACAACACCAGGGAATGCAGTCAAAGCACCAAACAAGATTTTAAATAAACACTGACAAATAAGGAACATTATATCAAATCCAATGGAATATGCATAGAATTCCAGTTTACTGTGTGATTCTCATGATCCAATCTGAACTAAAGTCATCAACTTCTTGTAAATTAAGTTGCATTACATGTCCCATTAGGTGGGGGAGAGCCTCATGGCTTAAGTACCACATCAAGTAGCTCATCCTCCTCAATGTGGAACTCCTAACAAGTTCTAAAGATACAAATAATGTTAAATTAACTAACTCCCCCTTTTTGCATTCTTTTTTTTTTTTGTTGTTGAGGTGGTTTAGGATAAAAAGGTTAGTTGTTAAGCTTATATAAGTTTTAGGTCCTCAATATATTAACTATTTTTGTTTTGAGCACCCAACAAATTTTTTCTTCAAATAGAGTACCTAATAAATAATAAAATTTTGGTTTAAGTCCCTGAAAAAATGTATTTTGTTATTTTGTCCCCATTATTATGTTGACTCTTATATGTGATCTGTATAATATTTTTAGATATCTCTTTTGGTCCCTCTACTTATTTTTTATCGTAACAATCAATAAGTTTTTCATCATATGGTAACATATCCGGTCACTAAGGAACAAAAGATACTTTATACATATCATTGTTCAACATTCTAGCTCATGTGATACATGTTTCAAGTTAACGAACACGTAGATAGTAGAACTGGCTAAGATAACATTCATTAGAGACATAAGCCAAAAGTTTTAATTCATTAGGCACCCAATTTGAAGGAAAAACTTATTGGGTACTCCAAACTATAATTTATCATATACTAGAGACCTAAAAAATATTTAAGCCTACTTGTTAACCAAAATGTTAAATCCATTGAGCACCCGAAACACTTCTCAAGCCTTGAAGCAGGAACAGAAATAGACAATCAGGTGACGTTGTTGTTGACAACAAGGAGCATTTTCCTAGTGCCAACAATAAATACTCTCAATAAATAAAAGTAACATAGAAGAAGTTGAGGTGGAAGACCCATCCAAAAAGGTAGAAAAATTTATATGGCAAAGAGGGGAGAAGGCAAAATCACAACAGAGAAAATAATGATATGGTTGCTGTTGATGCAATTAAAACAGCATATATTTCAGCAATTGTGTTAAGGAATTACTGTGCACTTCTTGAGGAGATATTGACATACACAAGTTAATCTTATAAGGTAAAGAAAGTTGAATATATTAGCATGGGCAAAATAGTGCACAAACGTTAGAAACTTCATATTTAGTAGGAAGTGGTTTTGACCAATGTTCCAAGGCCATTTGTCTAAGATTCAGTCTGAACACTTGTTGTCATTGAGCAGAAAAATGAAATGATCTTAAAGCTCAAGATAAGAAAGACCCATTCAAGTAGTAATCCTTCAAGAATTAACTAGGAAAAGGGAGGTTAGTGTCGTCATGGAAAGAACCTTTACCATAATAAACTCACACCAACCTAGACTAAACCAATCTGATTGAAACTGGAGCAAAATCTAGAAGCTGAATAGTACCTGGATCAGCCAGACGGCATTTTTACTATAAAGAGCATTGTTAACAAACCAACTAGCCAGTTGATCCCACTCACTCTGTTTTCTTCCATAGACAGAGATCCTATACTCAGCCATCTGTAAATTTTATTTTTATTTATACATAAAAAATGAATTTAGATAGGAGATATCAAAATGAAATATCTTATATTGTGGTTAAATAACCTGATATTTGCTTGCTTCAAGATCTGTCAAAACTTCCTTTGTTACTTCAGCCAGAAACCTTCCTGTGAATTTTGGTGGCCTTAAGCCATTATGAATTCGAAAAGTATAAACTGACACTTCTAATATTAATTAATAAAATACAAGTAAATAGTAGGGAACAATCATATTCAGCAAAACCAACCCTGGATAAGATTATCCTGCTTTAAAAATATCTCTCGAAGTCTGCTCTGTCCACAAGGATTATACTTAAGGTTGAATTTGTCAAATCTATGGAATGTGGTCTTATCTGCATGGACGTCCAACAAATCAACATTCAGATCATATCTGCATCATAATTTCCATTAATTAGAAAAGGTGGCTACATACAAGCAAATAAATATTTCCAGAACTCGTTATCGAAATGGTAAGATGAAAAAACAAAATCAGAGAACAAAATAATGCATACCCAGTCAAATCCAAACTCTCAAAAACCTCCTTAAGTGTCATATACTTTCCATCTCTAAAGATAACAACCTGTTAACATAGATACTCATAGGAAGAATTAGGAAGAACTAGTAATCTGAAAAGTAAAAAGACAGAGGGGACGAGGATAACAACCAACATCATTAAAGCCTCATAAAAAAATTAAGTAGAATCCAAAGTATATTTTCACCTCATCGGGTTCTTTTCTTAATTTTGACTTGATGAAGCGCACAAGATGCTTCTGATTCATGCAAGCAGAATGATGAATATGGGTATCAACTTTTCTGATATTGTAAAAATCCCGGTGTGGTGCACCCTTCTGGGCTAGAAACTCCTTATCTGCATTTAGTAACAGATGAAGGCGGAATTTCTGTATAATGATCAGATGAATGTTATAAACAAATGCCACAGGCAAGCACAAAGAGACCATATAGACAGAAGTTTGTGAAAACATACTTCCTCAAGAAATCGTAGCCTGTGGTAGCATGCAGAGCGAACATTCCCAATAGACATAACTTTTAGAATGTAATGCATATCAGTAAAAAATCTTGTTGAGCTTGCAACGGGGAAGAGCTCTTCGGTATCTGAAGAGTTTCACAGAAACCTCAGTTCTTTTTATCTTCAACAAAGTAAATACTCAACAAAACTAATAACAGTGAAGCCATAGCATTATCATGTTGTTAACACTCCATGCTTACCAGTTTTACTAGCAAAAACATGTATGACTCCATCTTCCATCCTAAAGTGGTGCTGTTTGCAACATAAAAAGTCAGTGTAAAATTATCAATCAAACGCTTCAGAGCAATAAAACAATATCAACAGCACTTTAGAACAAAACTGACTGTACATAACTCTAAGAAGATTCCACATGTAACCCAAAATATGTGTGCAACTAATAAAAAAGTAATGACAGAGAAGCAGCAAACTTACTGTTGTTGCTTCAACTGGTTCAAAATGATATGGGTCAAAATTAGTTTCCACAGGTTCTATCTTCAATGGAACATTTTCCTTGTACACATATTTCTTACGCAAATCTAAGGATTCTCGAATCATTTTGCATACTTCATCCTCTTCTCTATTTGTTGCCTCTGAACATATTTTTGTAGAGTAAGACAAAGATTATGCATTAATACTAGCTTTAGCAATCTTGTTTCATATTATACAAGCCACACTATGAATAAAAAAAAATCAAAATAATTATATTGTTTGATATAGTTAAAAAAAAAAAAAAAAACTGGGAGCATTTGAGTCAATTTATAGATAGCAAAAAGAGGATAAAAATGTGTAACATGTGATGCAGGGACAATACTTAAATTATTTGACATGAACGAATATAGAAGCAATAAGAACAGTAAAGATTATGATGATGACATGAAAGTACCTTGCACAAGGTTTCTTGCAGGTAAGACATTATTGGCAAATACAAGGTCATCCCCAGCTACATGTACTGAAGCTGAAGTAACACCATTCATATCTGCACCAGCTTTCGCTTCCTCTGAAACCTCTCCATACATCTGATTTTTTGCACAGTTTGCATCCTCAACTCTGAATGGAACAGCAGACAAATTGCACATGTTTGAATTTAGTCCCTGCAAAAGCATGAACACTAAAATATAAGGATAGAAATAACTGTACAGTGAATAATCATACACCAAAAATAAGCAAGGATTAGGAAGCCAAAGATTCATATGCACCAGACCACACCAATACTATACGCTTTCCAATTACCAATAAAAAAAGTTTATATCCCATGAAAACCCTGAACCATCAAAGTACTACGTTGACAAACAAAAAGCAATAGCTCAAGACCTCAAGTTAGTCAATATGCATTCATTTGAATCCCGATATAATGGTAACTAAAATTATTGAAAACACGAAAGCCTCTTTCTCAACTTCTCCTTTAAATAACAATCAACTCTAGGCAATACTTTAGTCGACAAAGTTTAAAGAATCTATAATCCTTGGAACAAATAAGAAACCATTGTTCTCACGTAAGTATTTGAGAAATGAATGTGATTGTCCTCAGCAAGCTGTGTTTCCTCCTCATCAGAATCCTCGGCACTTTCAAATGTGTTACGCCCTGGTGATCTTGGAGTCATAATTCTACCAACAGATGCTATCCTCTTATACGAACGCGAAATCTGAGCATTCTCACCTACACAAACCAAAACAAAGAAACGCCATCTAAACAAACGAATAAGGAAAATAGCTTAATTTTCATACACTATCAGTATATTGTACTGGCAACGAATTAAAAGCCACAATTTAAAGTAATTTAATTATAACCAAAATCAAAGGCCATGTCATATATGGCATTTTGTGTTTGTATGACAGTCCAAATAGGCATGCTAATGAAATTTAAAGAAATAAAACTACCATTTTAATTTAAAATAAAAACATAACGAACTGAACAACAACTGCATAGTTGCAAGAATTCATATTCACACCATTGGTGGAACCCGTTCGAAGAGACGGAAGCCCTAGTGGAGCGAATTGAAGATTTTCAAGCGACGAGGCACGATTCTTAGTGTTCTCGTGGAACCAATCCGCTGCACAAACCACGTTGGGCATCGAAGACGAAAACCTATAGTTTCGAAGAACGTTCGAGGTGTCGTCGACGGACCTCGAAAAGGTTCGGCGATAGTCCCTGAGATCGACGTCCGTATCCGTTTCACCGTCGTCGGCTCCGAGCCCGCTCCGATCGTCATCGTCGTCATCGCTGTCGTCGTCTGAGGCGTCAAGTGGCGTGTGGCGGAGTTCAACGATGCGGTGGAGGACGTGATCGACGGTGCGGCGGTGAATGTAGAAAGCAGAGATGGCCATGAAGGAGGCTCCGAGCAACGCCGCCATGGCGAGGTGAAGCGACGGAGGGAGCGACGTGGAAGACGAGGGATGCATTGGAGGAAGCTACTGTGAATGCGTTGGTTTGAATGATCAGCTTCGAGGCTTGAAACTCGATCGTTGGTTCCGTGAAGCAGTGAGGCTCACTCGCGCGCAGTCTGTGAAGATTGAGTGAAAAGTGAAGGGGGGGAATGAAAATGATTGCTTTTCTTTTGCTCGACCTAACTAACTCAATAGTTTGGCTTCTCGTCACATAGGACTCAAGAAGTAGTAACACGTGGCGACCCGTTACTTTTCTACTTCATTTTTGCTAAAATAATTTATGTTATTATTAGACTATGTGAAATTTACGGATAATAAAAATATTTAAAATTATTATTTATTTATTTATTTTATTCAAATTAATTTGAGGTTAGATACTTTTTTTCAATATGTTAAGATTGACTTGTTCCAGAAGAGAAGTCACATTCACATTAAAAATGATAATAAGATAATTTAAAAAAGAAAAAGATAAAAAAATATTTTATTTTAATTTTATTATTATGATATAATGATTTTTTTTATCCTAATTTTAAAGTAATAATATAATATTTTCATCGAATAAATTTATGAAGTGAAATTCGTGTGTGTAAAAAGTACATTATTTTTATTAATTAACATGAGTGCTATGTGGATGTTGCGAACAACGCATGCCCGAATCAGTGGATTCCACAACATCCAAGCGATCAGATTCACGTCAATTTGGATGGAACCAACGATCCTGACAAATATTATATAGTATTGTAGAAAATAACTTTTATCAATTATATATAATTTAATATTGAGTCACAATCTTGAAAACTATTGTTTGAACTGTTCCAAGTACAAACGTTAAATGTTTTATTTTTTAATGATACGATATGTGATTTTTTTTTAGTTTTTTTTTTCAATTTTTTAAAAATAATTTTAAATATCAGTTTTAAAAAATATTTTACAATATAAATTAAAAAAATATTTAATAACGTTAAAAATATTTTGAAAAAGAATATGATATCGGATGAAATATTTTTTTATAATTTTAAAATAATGAAAACAAGTATTGTTGGACAATTAGTCATGGAAAATGTAAATATAATTAATTGAAACAGAAAATTAAAAATACAAAATACTTTTTAATTTTTTATTTTTTCTAAATAAAAAATAAAAGTTACAGATAACTATTAAATAAATTTTTAAATTTTTAAAAATTAAAAAGTTGAAAATTGTTTTTAGAAATAACAAATAAATAAACTCGTAATTTATGTATCTATATTTTTTTTCTCAATAATTACCAAAGATTTTCAGTTAATTGTTTACACTCACAATCACTTATTTAATGTATTATATATTCGCATGAATAAAATATATTTTTTTAGATAAGCAAATTAAAATAAAGTTTAAATATTAGGATTAAAAAGTAACTCTAATACTATTCGACTTGAGATATTAGAGTTAATAGAAAAATTGAATTAACTATTATTTTTATGGAAAAAGCAATGTCTTTAGTTTGGGTTTTCTAATGAGATGAAATATTTGATCTCTGAAAATAAGAAATAAAATTAAGGTAATAATGAGTTCAAATTAATGAAAAATAAGTATAAAATGAAGTGGAAATTTTCTTTAAAATGACATAAAGAAAAAATGAGTGAAAAAAATAATTATAAGCTGAGAGAGTAAATTAAAGCGAGTCTCGAAGTAATATTAATAATACAAACATATTAAATCTCATGAATAATATATTAAAGATATAATAAAAGATAATTAAGTTGTTAGGTTTTATATTTTAGAGGTTATTAACTAAGTTGTTAATAATAATAATTTATTTTTAAAATATTGAAGTATATTAAATACAAATAGGTATTAAAGTCAGTTAAATTAAAAAATATAAATTATATATGTCATTTTTATTTAGTTTTCACTTCCAGCATTCAATGACTCTTTCACCCGTGAGAGCAATAGTATCTTGTATGATATATGTATTGTTCATACTTTTGTGATGCTTTATAGAAATTATATACTAAAACTTTGACTATAAAGATATTGATGTACCTTGTGGCTGAAGAAAATATTAGTTAAGAAAAAGAGACAAGATAAGAAAATGGAGAAAAAAATATATTGAACTATACGTTAACGTATTTAATACTAGTTGATTTAATGATTATTGAACTATACGTTAACTTAAAAAGATAGTTTGTTAGGTTCCTAAGTTAACATGTTGATTAATTGATCTATTGATCCATTAGATGATATATTGTTTAATAGTTGTTGGTCTTAAAAACATATAATAAATGAACAATTAGTAAAATTAGAGTTTGAACTTTACTTTTCCTCTTTTGACATACCAAAAGTATTATGAATAAAAATATGTTAATTCTTTTTTAAAATTGTTTATCTCTAACTCAAATGTTTGTATTTTTTTTTTCTCCAAATTTGCATTTTTTGTACATAATGAATTCGTTTTTAAATAAACAACTTATGATAAATAAAATGTAAATCAATTTTAAGTGGTTGACGTTATAAAGAAAAACCTCCCCAAATTAGTTGTTGATAAAGCCGCATGTAGTATGACATGGGCCTTAGACAGGAGGTTTATAGGGCCATTGTGAAGCAGATCAGGCCCATTCGTGTATCCAACTTTATACGCATATATTTGCTTCAAATATCTTTTGGTTACTTATATAATTTATCTGTAGTCTCTCAAATTAAAGAAGATTTTTCAGGTTCCTAATCCGAAAAAGAATCAAAACTGAAATATTTCAAGTCCTTCATAAAGATCAAAACTAGAATATTTCTAATTAGAAAGACTAAAAATGTGTTCAATTTAAAAATGTATTAAACAACTTGAAGTCGTTTTATTTAAGAGAAAACGATTTTCCGTTTCAAATAAGAAATTATAATATACTTCAAATATTTCTATTACTAAGTAGAATGTAAGTAACTTTATTACTACAGATCTTATGAAATTCATTTATTAACACTTAAATTTTACTTCATGATCAATCAAAACAAATTAAAAGAGAAATCGAAAATATATAATAAGAGATTAAAAGTTTCATTGGTAATTAATAAAATATATATACAGTGTTTTTAAAATTGGAGATTTAGGATTTATAAATTTAATTAAGGTTTAACTGATTAAATAAAATAATTATTTTTATTATATAATAATACAATAAGTATATAATAAATTTATTAATAATATATTTTTTATAAAAAAATATTTATAATAGTAATAATAAAGGTTTAAAAATATAAAATATAATAAAAACAAACATACTTATAATCGAAAAAAATAAAATGAAAACATAGTAATATAAATATTGTTTGAGATAAAAGAAAAAAAAACTAAAAATTATTACATTGTTTATATTTTTTAAAATTTTAATATTTAATTTATTTTTATCAAAATCATATTGACTCAAAACTATATTTCATCTATTTTATTCAATTTTATATTTTGTACCGGTTCAATCATATTTAATTATTTTAAAGTAATGGACCAATTTCTAATTAGAAATCCAGCTATCTATTTCGATTTTAAAAAATAGGGATATATACATAATATCTTAACAACAATTAAATCAAGTAAATAAAGATTTATCTAAAGAACTTGATCATAATTTATAAATTAATTAAATTAAGTATGTATTACACTAACTAAGATGGTAAAGACTATCTTTGATGTATAGTCAAAACTCATCTTATGTATGGATTGATTAAAATACTATAAATAGGTGGAAAAAAAATCCTAAGATACTAAATAGTCATATATTATATTTAGTAACTTAAAATTGAACTTTAACCATTAAGCTATTAAGTATTTTTAATAATAATTTATAAATAAATTATATTTATATACAAATAAATGTATATCCAGTAAATATATAAATATATTTATATATTTTGATATATTTATATAGTTATATATTTATATGTTGGATGTGAGGGCGCGTTCAAGGGTGAAAGTGTGTACTTGTGTTTATTAAAATATATTTAAAATTAAGTAATTATTATATATTTTTAAATATTTAATTTTTTTAATTTAAGCTTGATTTTTTAAAATATACTTTAAATTCGTTGGTCAATGAATAAATAATTACCGACGGATATATCTATCGGTAACTAATTGTCCATTTACCAAAATTATTAATTTATCGATGAATATATTCGTAGGTAATTATTTGTTTATTTATTGACGGATTTACCGATGGATATATTCATCGGTAAATTTACTCCGTCGATAATTAATTATTCATTTATCAACGGATATATCCGTCGGTAATTAATTGTTCATTTACCGACAGATATATCCGTCGGTAAGACCAAATTCTACAACTATTCTAAATTCGTCGGTAATCACTTATTTTCCGATGGATACGATAATATAAGATTTTCTTGTAATATACACATTTAATTTCTTATTTATACCTCATTTAACTTGAACAATAAATTGTTTGTATATATATCTCCTACCACTTTAGTTTTTTTTTAGCAAAAAGGGTCTAAAAATAAGAATAAAGAGAAAAAAGGTAAACTAAATTCTATAATTGTACTATTGAAATACTATAGAGATATAACAATATTGTTGAATTAAGAATATTATTGTAATGTTAGATGAAACAATATTCATGGTTTCAATTCACTTGTATCCTTGATTACTTTTTTTAAAAAATTGGTTCGGATTCGACATCAACATACGATGTTAGACGTAAAAGATCATTTTCGTTCTCTATTTCTTCAATCATTTATCAAGATGTTGTGACAGTATTAATCATATAATTACTAAATCTTGTTGGTGTCTTAATTGATCGATATCTCATCCCTTCGATTGTAGAAATTGGTCAATTTTTGATAGATCGATTTTCACCATTTTTTATTTTAGAAGTTGATCGATCATAACCTTTGATTTTTGCATCACTTGAGTCATCAAAGTTAACACTTCGATTTTCCATGATAGAACACTATTTTCAACAATCTTTCTCATTTATAAT